GAACTGGACTTGGCCGTCGTGAAGTGACTTTCTTCCCAAGGCGTCAGTGTATTCAGATTTCCTCCTCCCATCCATTGAGTTTCCGTTGTTTTCAATAGCTTGAAATCCTGTCCTAAAATTAGAGCCAATACCCTGTGGTTGGTAGAATCTCCTATACCCCTCTGAGAATCCCTGGTTACACAATGAGGAAGCCCTCGGCAGCTCACCCAAAGGTGAGTGGTTCAAACCCACCAGCAGCCCCATGGGAGAAAAATTCTGTAGCCCAAGAAAACCCTCTGGGGCAGAATCAACTCGCCAGCACACAGACTTTTCTCTATCGCTGTTTCCTTGCAATCTTTCATTTTATGTCCTCTTTCTTCTCCTTCCTTCTTGATAAGATGAGCTAAAAGGTGTCCTTTTTATTGTTGCTGCTGGTTTTTTCTCCCCAGCCACTCAAAAGAGAGAGCAAGATTTATTGATGCTATCATTGTTTAAGTTCCTTAACTCCCTCTCCTTCTGTCTGTCTCTCTTTCTGTTTTCCTTCCTAGCCGTATGGAAGCACAGGCTACGTCCGTCTACTCTCGTCTTTCCTTTGTCCCAGTGGTGAAGGGCTATGACTTTTCCTCTAGGAGTGCTTTGGCTGCATCTCCTGGGTCGTTGTGCACAGTACTTACATTGTTGCCTCCTCTGGGAAGCTCTCTTCTGTGCTCCTGTGACATTCTATTCATTTGCCCTCCCACGCATCTTACCACATAGGAAGAGCCAGTGGTACCCAGAGTAAAAGTAACGCAAGCCATGAACACGTCATTTTAAATTTCCTACTAGCCCCGTTTAGGACAACTGAACGGAACAGTTTCAATAATATATTTTATTTAACCCAACATGCCCCACAGGTCACTGTTTCAGTGCATAATCAATAAAAAACAATTCAGTCATGAGTGGTGTTCATTTTCCGTTCAAGTCTGCAGAGCCAGGTGATGGACACTGCACCTTTCAATCTGCCCACGCTCCATTGTTAACCGGATGGAGTGGCATGGGGACCGGGGGACTGGACTCAGACGCAGTAAGCACTGAGCAGATAGCGCAGAGCCAGCGGTGCTGTGTCCTGTTACACTCAGGGTCGATATGTCAGGACCAACCCGCCCAACCACAGCAGCCCTGAGAGTGCCCGCCCAAGAACCACGTGAGTCTAATCTCTGTTTCCGCCTCCCAGGCTGCAGACCACCCGAGGGCAGGCAGGTCATCTTATTCAACCAAGTATCCAGGAGGCCTTGTGCACCATCAGCACTCAATACCTGCATGCTGGGTTCCTGACCGCCCATCTCTGTGTCCACCCGCTGCTCATGCGTCCATGGCCCTCTCTGTATCCATCAGCTCACCGCTCTCTGCCCCTCCTCCACCCCACCCATGGTTGGTGCAGCCATGGAATATGCTTAGCAGCTAACCCAAAGTTGTAGGTTGGCGTCCACCCAGACACACCTCGGAAGACAGACCTGCCAATGTATTTCTGAAAACTTCACTGCTATGGAGTCGATGCCACCAGCTCGTGGCAGCTGTTTAGGATGGGGTAGAGCTGCCTCTGTGGTCTTCCGTGGCTGTAACTCTTCCTGGGAGTAGAGAGCCTCATCTCTCTCCTGCAGAGTGGCTAGTGGTTTTGAGCAGCTGATCTTGCGGTTAGCGGCCCACAGTGTAACTCGCTGAGCCACCAGGGTTCCTACTGAAAAGTTAGCCGTGGAAAACCCCGTGGAGCACAGACGTGGCTCTGACACGTGCCGTGGAGGGGCCGTGAATTGGAATCCACTTGACGCCCACTGATGACTCACGGCCTTCCTTCCATATGCTGCAGCCTGTACCTGCTGCAAACAGCGGGGCAGGGGGCCATCCCCGTGTGTTCTAGACACTCTGTCTAGAGCCCCAGAGAGCCACGGGAAGCTCCTACCCCCGACGGAGGCTGCCATGGACTGATCCACAGCTGCTGCTCTGATGGGTAGATGAGGGTGCAGAAAGCCCACATGGGCACCGCAAACGTGAGTCCCCCAAGTCCCTTTATAAAGCAGCATCCGGGTTAGAGATTGTGATTACAAGAAACGGCCACCAGATCAGTAGTGGAGACCACCATGTGCCTATCGGTATCCATGTCACCTTTTTCCTCCTTGCCCACAGAGACCCGGCGAACTCATGCACGATGGTTGGCGCAGCAGCAGCCTTCTTGTGACCGCTGACCGGCGTGACGTGCTGAGGATGGACGATTGGAAATGCAGAAGGTCCTGACTCCTTTCTAAGGTCTCAGAGCTCTTGTACCACAGTCTAATGTCCTGCTGCATGAATGGAGGAAACCTTAAGGAAACAGATAGGGGAGCGGTGGAGAGAGGTAGAGAGAGAGAGAGAGAGAGAAGGAGGAGGGAAGAGCTGAGAGAGGGGTGAGGGAGAAGGGGGGAGGGCAGGAGAGGGAGGGGAGGGAAGAAAGAGAAACCCAGTCCTCTGTAAATCCCTGTCTACTGGCCAGCTTCATTCTGTTGTGTGTAAGGTTGCGAATGGGTCCTAACAGTGTGGATGGCACCTAACGACAGCAATAATGACGGCGGCGTGCCGATGGCTTGCCGCCAAGTGTGGCCGGTGCCTGGTGCAGGGTCTGGCGGCACAGACTCGACTGTTAACCAAAAGGTGGGGTCCTAAACACTCTGGTGGTTGTGCGGGGGGAAAGGCCTGCCTCCCCGCTGGAGTAAGGATGAGCCAAGCGAACCCTGGGGTCCGTTCCACTCTGTCGGCTGCATGAGGCCGCGTGAGTCCGAATCAGATCTAGGGCACCGGACAACGCAGGCTAAAGAGCCTTTCTTCTCTGTCGGCATTTGTCAGTTACAAGAACACCAACCAGCGGAGCCACCTGACGGAAACCCCAGAAAGGGGTGGGCTGATGGGGTGTCGGCCGGAGCCTGTCTGCCCACCGTTCCTGCTTAGCCAAGATCTCATGGTGGCCCTACTGCACAGGGCGTGTCCCCTCCTCCAGGTCCCAGTGAGAGTCCCGGGACCCCGGGCAAGTGGCCAGGCTCTGGAAGCATGTGTGGACTCACCATCGTGCACACACCTGTGTGGACCCAGGTCAGCCACCGGCCACATGTTAGCATGCCGCAAGGACTTCTGAGTGGACGTCCCACCAAGGGCGCCCTGGCTTTGCAGGTCTCTGGAGTTTCCAAGGGCCCGGAGCTTTGAGTTTGGAGCAGGGCAGCTCCAGGTGGATGGAGGGGGAGCAGGCACATGCTCTGAGAACAAGTGCCTTCCTTTCCTGCCTTGATAAGAGCAGCCAAACCTCCTTTGATCATGTAACGTCGGCTGGACAGCCTTTTCCTTAAAGACCCATGCGGACGTTCCCACTGTCCCAACCCTATGGCCGGGCAGGGAGGGCCAGGCAGGTCTCCTTGGCTCCATGGCGGCCATTATCCTGGGCACAAGGAGATGTGACTCTACTGTGCAGCTCGGCCTTCAGTGAAGCAACCCCCCCACACACACATACACACACACAGAAGCCCTTCCACAACAGTGCCCAGCAACCCCTCCCTGCCCTCTGCAGACTCCCTACCCTGCCTCGGACAAGCAGGGAGCCTCGTCCACCACCGGCCCTATCGAAGATCTCTCTTCAGGCAGTCCCCTCCAGTGGTCAGCCACCTCCCTGGCTCCTGCTCTCCCGCGGAGCACAGCAGGCCCATCAGGAACAAAACCAGGCCCCCAGCGAGTGAGGTCCACAGACACGCCACCCCAGCAGGGCTGGCTCCCACCTGTGGTCCATTCCGCTCCAGGGGCTGCAAGTGCCTGCCCCTGGCTAAGGTTCCCCTCACTGCCTGCTCACCTGAGCCAGTGAGCTCCTGTCCTTCATGCCTCCCTGTCACCAACAAAGGCCATCCCGCTGGTGCATGGGGACTCAGTGCAAACCCAGGGACCCCTACCCCCAAGAGCTGGATGGCACTACGGTGACAGGGACACCATGGGCAGGGCACCAGGGGACAGGGCTCCCACCATGGCCACCCTAGACTCTGCTCTGATTGACACTCAACTCCCGGGGCCCAGGGGTTCACCAAGGAGGCCAACCCATGGTATTCTAGGGATCAGGGTCCCGGGAGACGTGCTGTCTAGCTGTGTGTGTCCGCTTGGGGCTGCCCCTCAACCTCGCCAGGTTCCACATGGAAGAACCCACCCCTGGTGTGGACTAGCGTCTCCTGGAGATGCCCCAGTCAGTACAGATGAACTCCAAGCTCCTTCTCTCCCACCCTCGGGGCTCTGACGCAGTGGGTCTGGGGTGGGGCTCAGACACGTTTGATTAAGTAAGGTCTCCCCGGGTGACTGGAACCTGAGAAGCCTCTGCGGTAACACGACGCTCGCATTCTTCCCAGGTGTGGGCCTTGCAGGCTGGGCAGGGGTCTTCGGGCTCATGGACCCTCCTCCATCCCTGCTCACTCTCATGCCCTGCTTGCCCCCTGGTCACTTGGTGCCTCCCTGGCATCTAGCAGCTGGCCCGTGGTAGAGGACTCTCCCTGCCCATCAGAAGCTGGCCCTGAAGATAGCCTTCTGAGAGAGGGGATCACGTCCATTTTACGTGCAGGCAAACTAAGGCCTGGGCAAAGTGACCCCTCCCAGGCCTGGCTGGACTTGAGTGCGGGTCTGGCAAGGTCTCCCATCCTCATTCTCTGTCCCCTGGGGTGTGGGACGGGAGGACAGGCTGTCGCTTTAGGTAGCGGGACTACGGCACCCCTGAGTCTCCATGTCCCTCCTCTGTGGCACCCCCGTCCCCCAAACACATGAAGGCGGGGAGGTAAAATCCAGCTCAGAGTCACCCCAACACTGCAGTGGGGGTCCCTCTGTGGTCAGTGTGGGCAGGCGGGGTCCAGTGGGCTGTGGGGGCTGGCGAGTTGGCTGTCCAGGTAGGGGTGGACTCCAGGGCCACTTGCTCTCTCTCCACTCCTGCCCCCTCCGCTCTGCTGGCCAAGCCCCAACAGGACATCCATGGGGGAGTGGGGACCCTGAGGGGTCTAGTCCTCCTTGGGTTTGCCGGGGTGCTGTCGGGCCAGCCTGTAGTCGACAAAGGTCCCGAGACAGGCCCAGAGGAGGAAGCGGGCCAGCAGGATGACCACCAGCAGCAGGAGGAGGGGCTCGGGGCCGGAGCTCTCCCAGAGCTCTGAGGCCATGCTTCCTCCAGCCCGTGGGTGACCAGGAACTGAGTCCTGCCCTGCTGTGAGCTCCGAGGGACGGACCCCAAGGTTCCCCCGGCGCCCAGCACCCCTGGACCCCCCCGGCGTGTGAGGGGACGCTAACGGCCCCCCGGTTGGAGAGCCCGTGGACTATTCATGCAGATGAGCAGCCCCAGCCACAATGACCGCATTGTGGGGCGGGCGGACCGCCTCTCAGCTCCCCGGCGCGCCCGGGCTGACGTAATGCTGACACCTCCGGCCTGCAGCTGCTGGGCGACACTGGCCACCTTCTCCGGGCCTCTTTCAGCAGCCACGCCGCGCTCTTCCGGCCGGCAGACAATCGGGCCCTTTCTCTCGCCAATTAGCTGTCACGGTGGAGGCCGGCGGGGCCCGGGCCGCCTCTGAGGGCTGGGTGGCGGCGGCAGCAGCAATGGCCCTGGAGGGCTAGTAGAGGCCGAGGAGGGGGGTGCTCTGAGGGAGAAGAGGGGAAGGGGGTACACCCCAGTCAGCTCTGAGCCCAGCCATGAAGCCCGACATACACCCCGGGAACAGTGGGCAGTACTGACTGACCACTGCCAAAGAAGTGGTGGCCAGGAAGAGCCTGCTCCCAACTCATCCAGCCCCCATGGGACAGAGCTCTCCCCAGCATCCGCCCAGCAGAGCGCAAAGGCTGCCCAACGCCACGGAGGGGTCTGGTCAGGCTGGTGGACCTCTGGGGTTTCAGACTTTATGCTGAGCCGTCCTGAGGGGCCAAGGGGGGAGGATGTTGGCCTGGTACCCAGCCTGGTGCCTGAGCCTGGGGCCGCACCCAGACAGGGCTGGCACCCAGAGAAGTGCCTGTGTGACTCATCCTAAGTCATGACCGCCTGTGCCCACCCTTCTCTGTCTCCTCCCCCATGTGCACATGCATGTTCACGCACACTGACACATACATGCCACACATGCAGAGAGGTATGTACAGGCAGCTGTGCACACAGACACCAGCATTCACCTGGGTGTGCTCACACCAGACCCACGTGTCTGCACATGTGAGCGCATGTGTCCATGCCCCACATGCATGCATGTGCACAAGCGGAGACTGTGTTCACACGTGTGCACACACCACGGCATGCAGACACCCACATGCGTGCATGCACGCACCGTGCCAGGCAGGCACCCACACATAGGAACACACAGGCACTCTCATATGTACACACGCTCACAAACATGCATGCACAGCTGTACACACACATGCACACACAGATTCCATCCCCCCTGTACCCCCCTCCCACTAGCCCCTACCACCCTAATATGACATCACGGGAAATAAAGGGACCAAGGACAGTGGCAGGGAGCCGGTGGGGCAGGGAGACCAGGGGCCTAGAAGTCACCCATGTCCTCAGCCAGGCAGTTGCCCACAGCCACGGTCCCCGAGACTCTGAGCAGACAGGGGCCCCAGTGCCTCCCACTCTGTGGGCAGCCAGCCCCTGACCCGGCATGCCCAGCTCTCCGGAGGCTCCGTGTGAGGGGCAGATGCGGGGAAGGGGCACCATCGGTGGGAGGTGAGGGGTGGTGAGGGCACACTCGATAGTCAGTGAGTGTGTCATGCCACGCCCAGCCCTCCTGCGCCTGGGAGCCGGCCCTGGGGACCCAGTACATGCCATCTCCGAGATGTGCTCTGAGCCTGTGCCTTGGGGATTGGGGGGGGGGGGGCCTGGGGTCCCCTTTCTCTCAGGGTGAGGTTCCCACACTCAGAGATGGGAAAGCCGCGCCCACCCCTGAGAGCATTTAGGTACCCGGAGGCCATCAAACACAGCCACCTGCTAAGACGTGGCAGCCCACCGAGGCTTCCAGAAAGTCCTTGGGGTGCTTCTGGTGTATTTCCGAGAGAGCTCAGCAGTGTATGGGGTGGGGTCCAGAGTCCTGGAGGAGGAGCAGGCTTCCCCCTCAGGAGGCATCGCACTCACCCAAGAAACCCCCCGGCATCTCGTCCCCTGCTGGGGCGTTCTCTGCAGCCTGGACACCAGCTCCTGACAGGGCCTGCCGTAGTGCTCCCGAGCCACGGCGCTCCCCTTGGGCAGGTGGGAGCAAGGTGGCCTTGGACAAACCCCGCTGTGTTTGCTGAGCAAAGTCAACAGCTCCAGCTCACGTGGGGTACAGCACGTGAGAAGACCCAGGATCACAGGGCCGGGCCCCTGCACCCCCGCCCCCACCCCCAGGCGTGAGTCAGCAAAAACGAGATGACTCAACCTTCAGGAGAGCAGGTGCCCCAGGGACACCTGGGGCTGGTGGGGCACGGGGGGAAGCGGGGATGGCCCACAGGGAAGACACAATGAAGAATGAGCAGGGTGGTGGCCAGCCTGCTCCTGCCCCCATGAGGTGGTGTCACTTCTCGGGAGGAAGCTTCTCATGAATGTCATTGTCTCTGTGGGTCCAGGGCAAGGCCCTCACCTCACTCTGGTTCTCAACAGGGGGCTGTGTGGGCGCATCGTATTACGGCCTCTGTGCGACTCTGCCCAGCATCCTCTCTGGCCGCGTAGCGGACTCCACTCAGAACTGACCGCGGCCCGTCCTACCCCTGTCTGGATCACATCGTTAGAGGAAGGCCCTCATTCCACCAAATGAGGTCACAGGTGCAAGGGTTTGGGCCGGAGCATGTCTTTTGGGAGATGACATTCAACCCATCAGCAGATGAGCCTTTCCTACGCAAGGTCCTTGGAGAATGGGGTTGGCGTGGTCACGTGACCTTTTGTGCGGGAGCAAAATGTGGCCTGGTCCTGCGCCACCCTCAGAATCCCCACCATGGCTGAGCCTGGGGTTGTAGCCTCTCTGTAGTGCCAGTCCCTGCAGTGCACCTTGGGCTTCACCCTTCCAGACCACAGGCTCTTGGTCAGATGCTGTCCCCTAAAACGGGCCTCTGTCGGCCAGTTCTTTTTGGTACAGTGACTCGGCGTATTCCCTCCGTCATCATCTGATGCTGCTCCAGACCTTGCCCGTAGAATCCTTCAATAGTGCACCTCAAGCCTTGAATTTTTGTCTTCAGTTCTCTCTGCTTGAGAGAGGCTGAGCGTGTCCTTCCTTTCTGGTTTTCGGACGCCGGTCCTTGCACACTCGACTACGATGCCTTCCTTTGTCTCCTGCAGCTGCCCTCTGAGGGCTCCTGCCCACCACTTCTGTTCACATCAGCCACGCCATGCTCACGAGCACCTTCCAGAGTCTCTTCTGACCACTGTCCTGGTCTTTTCCTTCTTCCTTGTCCTTTGAATGACTGCCCACTCTCAACCTCAGCGAAGTACTGCTCAACCACAAAGAGCCACGGATCCCCAGTACGTGGGAAGATGTGAATGGAGTGTGAAAGCTGATGCTGAGCGGGCTGTCAGAATGGAGAGCTAAGTCCTGTCCGACATCACTTGGGTGACGTCCCTGTAATGAACATCCCTGTAATGAACGAGTGCGCAGACCCTAAGGTAGTGGTCTCCAGGGACATGGGGTGGGGCTGGGGGGGCGAGGACTCAATGCGTGGGAACGGGTGGCACTAGGGGCACATGTGGGACAAATGAAGCAAGATGGGTGGGCTCTAGAGTCGGGATGGCAGCCTAACCTTGGTCGTCTGAGTTGGCTTGACCTTAGGTGTCCTTGGGCTCCTCTCCAGGACAACAGTCCACTATCCTTATCAGAAGGGAGGGGCCCTGCTCAGGGTGGGACAGACAGTAGGGTCTGATTGCCTTCGACGGCAGACCACCTTCGACGGCAGACCACCTTCGACGGCAGTCTTCAAACAGTTGACCATCGAGCACATGCAGTAGTCGCCATGTGCTTGCAAGTAGCACCTTGTAGTTGGCATTAATAGGGGTACAGTGTGGGGAATAACTTTTACTTAGGACTATGGTTCTCAACCTTCCTGATGCTGCGACCCTTTCATACAGTTCCTCATGTGGTGACCCCCCAACCATAAAATGATTTTCATTGCTACTTCATCACTGTCATTTTGTTACTGTGATGAATCAGGCAGCCCCTGTGAAAGGGTCGTTCGATCCCCAAAGGGGTCACAACGCACAGGTTGAGACCCGCTGACTTAGGAGAATGTGAGTGGACACATCTCCAACCCACGAACGTGAAGTTTCCCTCCACGGGAGCCCCGGCCTCCCAGACTCCTTAACGTGTGGATGTTGAGAGTTAGTCGGCACACACGCTCTTCCCGGTTCTGTTCCCACACACCAGACTGCCAAAGGCAACAGCCGCAACCAGTCTGTCTTGGAGGAAGTGCAGCCAGAGAGCTCCTTAGAGGCGAGGAAGGCTGGACTCAGCCCCACGTGCTTTGCACGAGGTATCCAGTCGCTGGAGGAGGACGGGCATCGTGCTTGGTAAAGTGGAGGGGGCGGGGGTGGGGGGGCCGGGTGGCAGGAAGATCGAGAAAGACCCTCAGCAAGACAGATGGCCACGGCAGCTGCAACCATGGGCTCAAATGTCGCAACTGTGAGGTGGTGCGGGCCCGACCCTGGCTTGGGTCCTGTGGAGCACAGGGTCCCATGAGCCAGAAAGGGCTTGGGTGCCCCTAAAAACAGCAGCAGCAGCAGCAAGGTTTCGTTTCTGCTGAGGGTTTAAGGTACAATTTGAAAACAGGTGGTGCTTGGAGCACCGGCGGCACAGCAGGTGACTCGTTGGGCTGCTAATCCAGAGGTCGGCAGTTGGAAACCACGGGCTGCTCCACAGGACAACGGTGGGGCTCTCAGCTCCCATAGAGAGTTACCATTCCAGAAACCCACGGGGGCTGCTCCACCCTCAACCACAGGGTTGTCGCCGTGAGTCGGGACGAGCCAACGACAGACAGCAAGTTTGGTCTGCGTTTCGGAAAGGTGACGGTGCGCACCCTCGGGGGTGCCAGCAACGGCTAAGCACCCCCATCTGGTAATCACAAAGGGTGGCAGTTCAAGTGGCCCAGACCCAGCTCAGAAGAAAGGTCTGGCAGACCCCTCTGAAGAGTCAGCCCTGATTGCCGAGCCCCGTCCACTTCGGACACACGTGGACACCCCCAGTGGGACTCCATCCGACTGGGCAAGAACTGGCTGGCGGGGTGGGCAGATGCCGCTGGGCCGTAGGTGTGAGAGGAGCAGAAATTCTCGCCTGTGTATTCCCCACAATCAAAATAAACAAGTACCTAAAACACCAGCACCCCTACCCCAGCCAGCACCCCCTCCCCAGCCAGCACAGACCCCTGGAATCGGGGGAGTGCGCAGCAAACAGCTCCCTCCGGCCAGACCCAGACGAGGGGGAAATTAATTTTCTTTCTTCCCTCACCACAAAAGCAGATTAAAATCCCCAGCAGTGGGACAAGTGGGGGGCGGAGGGGGTGGCGAGTCGAGGGCTTCCTTGTTGAGTGGGTCCCGGGGGAGGGCAGCAGGGGCGAGGGGCCTTTTTTGGAGAACAAGGGTTGGCCCCAGCTATTTGAAAGGTCCTGCTGCAGGCAGAAAGCCTGGCCCGGGAGAATGCGC